AGATGGTTTACGGGAATAAATTATCCCATCTAAGGTGAGTCTGAAAATAAAATGACTTAAGTGAAGAAACACGGAATTGCGTTAGTAATTTTTCACATGTACTACAGACCGAACGACGACAATTGCTGTTAAAAAAACTGATAGTTAAATAATATAAAACATGTAGACTCATAGACTATACTGAAACAGAACAGGCAAAATAGCTAGAATATTTGATTAACAATTATTATGTGTGAGTATCGACATATGGAAGACTGAAAATTTACAATGAAAAGAACCTGGAGACACTACATGCTTTGTAATCCAATTTGAAGCATACACACTGAATCAGCGAGAAATTACATATCCACTTGTGATATTATGTTGAATAAACGCTGGCATCAGTATGAAATATTTGTAAACCTCAAGCAATCTTTGTTTTTGTCTTTCAGTTTATTGGGTATTCTACTTGTCATGACTGAAGCAGATTAAAGAGTGACCAAACTCATGTACGTTAGTTGAGTAAAATATAATCCGCATTCGTGTTTGGACTTATATGCTTGAATTATGAATAATTTTGTGTAATGAACAATGTGTTTACGTCCATGCTTTACAGTCAGCTGATGACTTATTCTCATTTCTCTGAATGTGATTCCGACTTAGTTCTGAAATGAATTTCGCTGCACACTTCATCTTCCATACAGAGATACGGGAATTAATATACGCATACAGATTATACTCGATGCAGAATTTTTATTTCTTTAGACTTGAGAATGAAATACATTTACCTTTGTCATATTGTTTCAGAAATCTATAGATGGGAAAAATTCGTCACACATACACAAGCAGATACTAGGACAGATAGTTCTAAAACGATGATAGTATGAGAAAATGACCTGTATTACGGAAACTATTAATAACCAATTAAGTAAATTTCTTGAAGTTATAGTGTTAGTTAATTGAAATATATAACGTCAAAAGAAAAAATCACCTCGCGCTAAAAATATGTATCTGGCATCGAATCATGTATAAATATTAAACTACCTTGGAATAAAAGATTGTCACAAAGCCTAACAACCAACTGACATAACACATTCCTAAATAACTGGTTTACTTGGTGTTCAATACCATATACGTATGAGTATCATCTCATCAGAGTAAAATATCATTTTTTTCTATCCATTTGCATTATCTTTTAATATAATTTTATTTCCAAGCCTGCATCAACAATTTGGGTTCGTGAGCACTTATCAATCGTCCATTATGTATAATATATTGATATACACTCTGCTGATTATCTTTGACAACTCGTTTTTGAAAATAGTCAGGACTCAAAACTACCATAAATAAATGCCATTCCAAAATACTGTAGTGATCTTTTGGCCACGAAAAAGTTGAATATTTGACAAGGCCCTCAACATGTTATTCGAATAAACAACAATAAGTTTTACTTAGAAATAATTATTGATGTGAATGAACCTGACCAAGCTTTCTCCCAGACGTAGTAAATGTCAAACGTAATAAGCAGAAGTGTGTTGCGAAATAGACTAACACGGAGAGAACATATCAACAAATAATATTGGCACCCAGAATTCAATACAAACATTATCAGCTTGTAGCCAAATTGAAGACGTAGGTTGAGTAACTCTCCGGATATATTTTAAGTCCGTATGATCTATTTTCGTTGTTCATCAGCTCAAATTAATCAGCAGACAAATACAGAATTGAGATTTCGAGAAATTAGTGAGCCTAGCTTTCCTTGCTCATGAAAGTTAGTTAAATAATAAAAACGAAAAAGTAGTATGGATAGCAAAATCCTAGATAGCAACTTTTAGTTCATCAAATTTAGTATGCGAAGTTAAAGGGTTGCAATATTGTGTAAATATAACGTATTCATTCGATGAGGAGGAAATAAGTAAATCCTAAGGATTCTTTTCAGAGTAAGGCTGATAATTACAGAAGGATTACTCCAAGATGGATCAACGAAAACGAATTAGTTAATATATTCAGGTATAGTGAATATTACTACCAGGAAGAAGCATAAATGTAACTCAGTAATTTGGTTATATATGTGAACTAAAAAATTTAATTTATGTTGTAAACTATATACATACATCAAATTATTGACTCATGAAAATTAACTGCTGCCTGTCCAATGTAGTCAAATCCACCTATCGGCCGGATATTTAAAACGACAGATATCTGAATGTGGTTTTTGATTTTTTTTGAACCAGTGACTGATGTATACATAGATTCATTTAGTGTCTTATTTTCCTTCCTCGAGTCGAGTAATATCAGCCCTCATTCCACTGCAATAAGTAGTAGTATCAGAATTTTGAAAAGTCATTACAGCTATCTAGTATTGTACAGGAAGCTGAATAAGGTAATGATGATGTGTATGGTATCAAACCGAGTGAACCACACAAGGAGTGTCGAGATCTCGAATTGAAGCCTTCCAAACATACCGAGTACTTAATAGGTTGGTAGGGTTATCAACTACCAGTACATGAATTTTGTATACAAAAAAGTTTGTTATATTCGGACGAGAATAAATGAACGGTAAGCGTCAGGAATTACTTATGGACTAACGTTATACAAATATTCGTATTCCCTTTATTATAAGCTTTTATTTGACCTATTGACTATTATCATACGATTTATTATTCTTGGGATATTCACAATTTATTAGTTACAGTTTCTCACAACCAGGCACTTGTTGTCTTGATTTTGCACAAATGTTATTTCCTATTTTATGGTGCGATGTGCTCTGATTTGTTTGTATACAAACGCAGTATGTTTGAAACATATGATTCTTATAGCGGAGGATGAGATTGGCGTTCTCGACTTACCAGGCAGGGCTAGAAGGAAAAGGGTCCAATCGGATTTCTAGGTTGCTCGTAGTGGTGCATGCGTCATTAGTTTGGTCGAATAAGTCAGTGTACTAAATTGGAAATCGCATAGCTAAGGACAGACCAAAGTTACATACAGAACTGAGTGATTCCTACTTTCAGCCAGGGTGTATTGTACAACAACGAAGATTGAAGTGAGACGTAAATCTGCACATGAATGTCTTCGTTTTGTGACGAGGAAAAATATACCATACACAATAAACTTTCAAAATATTTACAGTAGTTTGAAGCGTACTTCACGCTTCAGCTGTAAAACACTTCTGAATATTGTAATTAATCTACACATATCCGAAAACAAGTGGTAGTCAGAGTAGTGCAGAAAAAGTGACATTTCCAACTCCAGTAACCAGGTAAGACTACACGATGTTAGTTTAGAGTACATTGTGATTGGTGAGACCAAAGCAGTTCTAAGTCAAGAATAAAATGCCTAAGTTGTGTAAGATTCCCGACACAGGCAGTTATGACTTCAAATACAAGTGGTTGGAGACACTAAGAACAATCAGACTGATGAACCTATTTGATTGTCTGTAAATCAAGGCCTTGCTATTATATATGGCTATAAACCTTTCTTACCACTGAAATGATTTTCTTCGTCTTACAGTGACTTGGAATCCTAGTTAAAAGGAACGTGTTTCTATCACAACTTAGTCTTTAGGTGATTTTTCTGGAGATAAAAAATTGAAAACTAACTGAATTCGAACTGTCAACTACGCACGGCGTATCAGCCGAGTCGCGTTATAACAAAACCACCTGGCTGTCGAAATCTCTACAGATGTGACTAACAACTCGTTAACAATATTCTAGTACTGAAGTAGGAGGCAGTATCTTTGGGAAATGCCATGGGCACCGACTAGTTTTGAATTAAGCACTCAACTCTTTATGCAACGCTACTAAGCAGTCATTTTTTTATTAGAAACTACTAGAAAACACCCGTGTTACTGAGCATAACCAACAGTCGTATGATTTATGAATAAACATTAAGAAAACGGCAAATCTTGGGTCATTGTGATGGGAATTTATGGGTCTTTTAATTTCTGATCTAATCTGGATTCGTAACAAAAGCTAATAGACTCACTAACAACTTATCCGTTTTTTGTTACCCATTCACTATATTTCAAGAAAGCGTTTTCCTGCTAACCAGAACAAACTAAAGGGATAAAGTGAGCTAATTGAAACCATACTGAGCAGTGAGTTGACACACATCCTGGCTAGGCTCCACGTTGACTATGACTGGCAGATAATGAACCTGACTGGGCAACACAATAGGCTAAGCAACAACCAAGAGATAATACAGAAAATGAAAAACCTCGAACTACAAAATGTTTTATACTTAGAAACCGACAAAAATATTCCAAGAGGAAACTGTCTTTTGCAGAAAAATTAACAAAAGTTGCTAAAACTGATAAACTGCAATGGAATCAGAAATTACGAAGAAAGCTGTTCAGTTTTAATATTTTTACAGAAGTAAGCAGTCAAAAAGCTATCGATATATGTTTGTTGCTGATACAACTAAGAGTAATAAATTTGGATTACGCTTCACCTAATTTAGTTTGACAGACTATGCAATGTCTAGTCCTAATATAAAAGGCGTTGCTAAATCGAGAGTACGAAACCATGGTTACTGAGTTGCAAAAGATATCGACAGTGGATCATGATAGACATTCAAGTGATTTAAATACAAATTATCAGTTGATACAAGCTAACATTTTCATAGTCGCTTAGGTGAGTCCAATTTGGTGGTGAAAATAGAGACAATACTACGATTTTAGCGTATATCTGCAAGCGAAAACAGATTTCGCTTTAAGGTTCAAACCCACGCTATAGAGATAAAGCTTTTTAATCTGCTTTGCCAATAATAAGATATAGCTCAAACGAATATAACCGTAGAAAGTAGACTAGATCCATAAAAATAACATGTTATTTGATTATTCGCCTATATGTTGGGAATTTACTACAATTAACTTATAGAATTAACAGAAAAACTGGATATTCGACTTGAAAGCTATGGTTTCGCATGAACTCGCAACCAACTAAGAACTTGACAAATCACATTTCTACTTTTGAAGAGTGATGATAAGCCAACCTCAACTTATAAAAGAAAAACTAAAAATCTACTTACAAAGGTATTAATTTTATTCACAAAACATGACTGGTTGACTAATGTTAATTATAACAAGCATAATCTCACTCGGAAATACAGCTGCAAAATTAGGGCTTGTATTACAAGCTAATGATTACATATTGGAATAAATAATCGGCTATATACAGAAACGATCAGCAAGGTTACATGAACTTGAAGATTATCTAGCAGCTAAATTGTGCATTTAGAGGGGAAAAGCCGGGCATATGCACAAAACAATAACATGAAAATCCTAACCAACCATAAGTCCAATGCCAAAAGAGTATTTGGCTTTTACTTGGTTGCACATTGCACACAGAGAAAATGTGAAAGGAAATGGAGTTAATTTTTTTTCTAAAGAGGAAGCTATATTCCAGTTAGAGTCCATTTGTGCTTTAAAGGTGACATTTGCTTTGGGAATTTCATACTTGTAACCTAAAGTTGTAGTATTTGATTGTTGTTGATAATTTGATTCAAACTCTGCTGCCAACTGAAGATTATCGTCAACTTGAACATGGAAACTACTGTGAAACGAACTTTGCCAAGGTCGGATAGTCGCAGCACCTTGCCAATGTGAAGATGTGTACTTCGCACCAAAGCTAAAAACACCGTCTTGCCCTGCAGGTAGCTGGGGAGAGCACTGATAAAAGAAAGCACTTCCAAGAGCTAATCGTTTTGTGATTTGGCGCATTACATCTAGTGCAGCCATGCACTGACCACGACCAATATCAGGATTAATAAGAGTTAAAGACGCTTGAACTTTCGGTTTGCGATACTCTACACAAGCTTGTTGTCCCCCAAAGCGGTGACGTTGGAGCTGAGCGATATAGCGAACATATACTGAAGGAAACATTCGATGAATTATTTGGGCCTGCATATTCCCGTTGGGCTGAAGTTCACTCATCAAAACCGGATAACTTTCTGTATCTGAAACTTTGTTGTGCCCGACATACGTAACACCGAAACGGTAACCCGATTGTTCATCAGAATTTAGTGAAACAGAGTGGTTTACTTGAAAGTTGGGGGAAAGCCCCTTATTAACAACTAGTCTACCACCCTCAAAAGGCACGGGGAATATGTCATGGGCTTTATTGTGAATGTTCTCGACAGTTCCAGGGCCTTCGACGTTCGGACGCTCTTGCGATTGTGTCGTTTCAGGCTCAGCAAATACATCATCCCTGGGAGTGGATGCATGCACTGCATTGCCCATAATTCTAAACAAAACAAGACGTATTAATAAGGCTAGGGAGTTCTCGAGATTTAATTAATTTATTAAATAAAGATAAGGTCCTAAAGAACTACCCTACACACACGCTTACATCTGATATAACCCGCGGAAGGAAGTGCCAATTTAAACACATGTGTGAGGAATCATTGTGTGCTGATGAGTACGAACAATTCCTAAAATCTTTTGCAAAAATGATGGGTTAAGAATTTGTTGCGCAGTAATATGGCTTTTAGAATTTTCTTGTAGGATAATGTTGAAGTAGCTAGAAAACTGCATCACAGGTTCATATTCGTTAAATATTTACAACGGAAATACCGAAAATATACACGTATTTGTATTTGGGTGCTTGCGTTGTCTACAACCACGGTAAAGATCATTGACTAAGCTTGATGTAATTTAATTGCATGAAAGAGATAATCGGATCAAGAAGTGATGTGAATGACCTGTTATAGTAGTTACAATACTCATGGGTTACCAAGACTTTGATGCAGTAAAGAAAAACACAAAATAATGTGTTCTGTAAGTCTTCGAAATTGAAGCTAAACTCATTAGTTTTAGTGGACACATCCAGCTGCAGGGGCTCGATCACGCATCTTTATCAAACCACGAGTGATAGGCTGTGTTACGCATCTTCTACAACCGTAGTCCAGCTTAGATCAATCGCTTTTCAAAACATCGATAGCCTTTCAAATATAACTTCGAACCTGTCCACTTCTAACTTCTGATTTGTCTAGTTTGGCATACTTTGATTATAAATGTGTTACTGGCAAAGGCATTGTGACATCTTTAAAGAAAAGCCTAGAAAAACACACATCAAGATATGAACTAACAAAAGCCTTCCGAATGCGTCAACAGAAATATACTTCTTTCCATAATATTATTTCCATCAGGATATATATCTGATATTGTTGATCTTCCTCTATATTCATAAGGAACTTCAATAATATATGTTATACCTAATTGTAAGCCTAGTATTTTTCATATTTCAGCAGGCCCCTCATCAAAAATGAAAAATTTCATGACGTATCATATCAATGTATGGGATAAATACTTCGTTAGTCTATATTCCAAAGGAAAGCATGTCATAAACTGCACAAAGATACACACAATGCCTCTTCAAAGTTGAAAAATCTCTTCAGCGTTCAGCTGTCAAGACTGTAGCTTAAACACGAGTAGTGTCTTTTGAGGAGTTTCTGCAGCAAATTACATTCTATTAAGCTCAGTAAAATATTTTGTCTATATATGTCTGTATTTGTGGTGTCCGTCAATGGATAAAGTGACTAATTCATATGTTTTACAGGTTTTGGGATTTATTTGTTTGAACCAAGCTTTGAACATGATTTTTTCACAATTTAGACCCATTAATTTTGTTTTCTCTTTTTCTTCGATTCGGATTTTTGCAACATATGCTCTGTAAACCTTGAAATTTGAAACTGTCAATAAAATTGTTATAAAAACTAACTACACTGATGTTACGCGATTCGCTAACAAAATTGGTAAATTTGGAGCTTGAAATCTTAATTGACTCGTTGTCTGATCGAAGGCTGGAAATGCGTTGGTAGACCTTCCCTTAAGAACGGACCAGATTAAGAATTGCAACAATAATAACAGATTGCATGTTACTGAATTTGTCTTTGAAGTTTAAAAAAAATTCACGTACTCAGCACTTTGTTTTAAAACGTTCGATTGACTTTACTTGATTCTCGTATTCTCTCTTAGAATTACAAGACTGATTTTCCCTGCGAACGCCCCAAATAAATGTTAAATATCTCACGCTCATCGTTGACCTCAGTCTCGTATGCAATACCGAGTGGGGTATTGCGATTAGACATGCTTATAATCGTTGGTTTAGAAATTAGTTTAGACTAGAATTGCATGTACATTCAATGACTTTTGTGATGGCAAAATAAAGACCACAACTGGTTTTTTTACTTATAACGCTTTACATGTAATCACATTTGTATTCAATATCTGTTGTTTCTCCATATCAGTGATAATAAACTGATATAATTGTTTGGTTGTACTGATGCACACACTACAGCTGTTATTAGAAATAAACACTATCTCTATTGTTCTACTTTATTGGCCACAGACTGTGATTGAAGATTATAAAAGTCTTATTACGTTCTTTTAAGCTGTTCTATACCACGTTGAAGTTTTGACCCAGATTATTACTTACTTACTTACTTACTTACGCCTGTTACTCCCAAAGGAGCATAGGCCGCTGACCAGCATTCTCCAACCCACTCTGTCCTGGGCCTTCTTTTCTAGTTCCATCCAATTCTTGTTCATTTTTCTCATGTCTATCTCCATTTCTCGGCGTAATGTGTTCTTTGGTCTTCCTCTTTTCCTTTGACCTTCAGGATTCCATGTGAGGGCTTGTCTTGTGACGCAGTTCGGTGCTTTCCTCAATGTGTGTCCTATCCACTTCCAGCGCTTCTTCCTGATTTCTTCCTCCACTGGGATCTGGTTTGTTCTCTCCCACAGTACGTTGTTGCTAATAGTGTCCGGCCAACGGATCTGAAGTATTTTGCGTAGACAATTGTTAATAAACACCTGTATTTTCTGGATGATGGCTTTTGTAGTTCTCAAGGTTTCTGCCCCATACAGTAGAACTGTCTTGACATTTGTATTGAAAATCCTGACCTTGGTGTTGGTTGACAGTTGCTTTGAGTTCCAGATGTTCCTCAGTTGTAAATATGCTGCTCTTGCTTTGCCGATCCGCGCCTTCACATCTGCATCAGATCCACCCTGTTCATCAATGATGCTGCCCAAATATGTAAAGGTTTTTATATCTTCCAAATCTTCTCCGTCAATTGTGATTGGATTGGTGCATTCTGTGTTGTATCGGAGAATCCTGCTTTTCCCTTTGTGTATATTGAGACCTAGTGCTGCTGAGGCTGCTGCCACACTGTTTGTCTTCTCCTGCATCTGTTGTTGCGTTTGGGATAGAAGGGCCAGATCGTCTGCGAAGTCTAGATCATCCAACTGCATCTTAGATGTCCATTGTATCCCGCGCTTTCCTTCAGACGTTGACGTCTTCATGATCCAGTCGATCACCAGGAGAAAGAGAAAGGGTGAGAGTAAGCAACCTTGCCTAACACCGGTCTTCACTTTGAACGACTTTGTCAACTGTCCTCCATGCACGATTTTGCAGTGTAATCCATCATATGAGTTCTGTATGATATTGACTATCTTCTGAGGCACGCCGTAGTGTCGAAGAAGTTTCCATAGTGTTGTTCTGTCCACGCTATCAAATGCCTTTTCGTAGTCAATGAAGTTGATGTAGAGTGATGAATTCCATTCAATTGATTGTTCCACAATGATCCGTAGAGTTGCGATTTGGTCTGTACACGATCTATCCTTACGGAATCCTGCCTGTTGGTCACGAAGTTGGGCGTCTACGCAGTCCTTCATCCTGTTTAACAATACTCTGTTGAAGACTTTTCCCGGTATTGAGAGAAGAGTGATGCCCCTGTAGTTATCACACTTGCTGAGATCGCCTTTCTTCGGTATTTTGATCAGTAGTCCTTCTTTCCAGTCTGTTGGTACTTGTTCCCCATCCCAAATCTTATTGAAGAGAATGTGGAGTATCCGTGCAGTTGCCGCTACGTCTGCTTTTAGTGCTTCTGCTGAAATGTTGTCCGGTCCTGCTGCTTTGCCACTCTTGATTTGTCTGATGGCCATGCTGATTTCTTCAATTGTTGGTGGGCCAACATTGATTGGGAGGTCCGTGGGTGCTGCTTCGATGTTGGGTGGGTTCAGTGGAGCTGGTCGATTCAACAGTTCTCTGAAGTGTTCTACCCACCTGTTTTGTTGCTCTTCAATGTTGGTGATTACCTCGCCTTCCTTCCTTTTCACGGGTCTTTCTGGTTTGCGGCGATTTCCAGAGAGTTTCTTTGTCGTGTCATACAATTGTCTCATGTTTCCTTCTCTTGCAGCCTTTTCCGCCGTCGTTGCTAAACCTTCCACATAGTTACGTTTGTCGGTTCTGATACTCCTCTTCACTTGTTTGTTTATTTCCGTGTATTCAGCTTGTGCCTTGGCTTTTTCTGCTCTTGTTCGACTGGTATTGATTGCTGCCTTCTTGTTCCTTCTTTCTTGAATCTTATCCAGTGTACCAACAGTGATCCATTCCTTGTGGTGGTGCTTCTTGTGACCCAGGACCTCATGACATGTTGAAGTGATTGCCTCTTTGATCCCCTTCCAGTTGCTCTCCACAGTAGTTCCTTTTCCATTGAGTAGATCATGAAAGGCCTGGAACTTGTTGCTGAGGACTATCTTGAATTCGTTGAGTTTATTAGTATCCTGGAGAAAGGCCGTATTGAACTTTTGTGATACTGTCTGCCCCGTTGTCCAGTGCTTCTTGAGTTTCAATTTCATCTTGGCGACCAGTAAGTGATGATCTGATGCTATATCAGCTCCTCTCTTGGTTCTCACGTCCTCTATAGTCCTCCTGAACGTTTTGTTGATGCAAATATGGTCGATTTGGTTTTGTGTTGTGTGATCCGGTGAAGTCCATGTGGTTTTGTGTATGCGTTTATGTGGGAATATGGTGCCGCCTATGACCAGCTTATTGAAGGCACATAGATTTGCAAATCTCTCACCATTTTCGTTTCGTTCTCCCAGTCCGTGTCGTCCCATGATGTCTTCATATCCAGTGTTGTCCGTTCCAACCTTGGCGTTGAAATCTCCCATCAGAATGGTCAGGTCCTTTGTTGGGCACTTCTCGACTATTGACTGCAGCCTATTGTAGAATTGATCTTTCGCGTCTTCATTGTAGTCGTTGGTAGGTGCATAGCATTGGATGATGTTCATTGAAATGCCCTCTTTCTTTGTTTTAAACGAGGCTTTGATGATCCTTGGTCCATGAGATTCCCATCCTATAAGTGCATTTTGTGCTTGTTTGGACAGCATCAATGCAACTCCTTGTGTATGTGGTGCATTTTCTTCTTCATGGCCGGAGTATAACAGGAGCTCTCCTGTAGTTAGTCGTTGTTGTCCAACTCGTGTCCAATGTGTTTCACTGATCCCAAGTACCTCTAGGTTGTATCTTCTCATTTCTGCAGCAATCTGGAAGGCTCTTCCGGTGTCCCACATTGTACGAACATTCC